GGGCTAAATGATAAAAAAAGGAAGCATTGGTAGGAAAGGATTCTTATGGCTTTAATCTATAGATCTATAGATTAGAATCTAGAGGCTCTGAAGATAATGTTCAAAGGTTACTTGCAAACACAATTATTGTTATAATTGTTGGACCATTGCTTAAATTACATTTAGTAGAATATTAGCACTAAGTAGTATGTGCTATGACTTCTTTAATCATGAAAAATGTATATCACATGATGTAAAAGAGATTTCATCAATAATGTTTTTGAACAAGCATCAGTTAAGTTATAAAGCTGCTAGTGTTGAATGCTAAGCAAAATACTAAAGCTATTAAAATATTAGTGTTTGGTTTTATTTTAACCTATTATTTACAGAAGTCCTGTTAGAATGTGGGAAGCAGTCATTTTACAACATGAATGTTCCCCATATAAAATGATGGTCAATGTTGGATAGTGCAGATTTATAAATATGTACAAATAAACAATATATCTGTAGTTACCTTATCCCACTACTCTTACCAGTAAGCAACACATGAAAGCATCTTATTCACATAAAAATTAGAAATTGAAACAAAATTTTAAGCTATCAATACAGATAACCATTGATCTGTGTTTATAAAATTATACAGAAAAAGGCTATGTATTTGGAAGCTTTTAGTGGTCCACAGTGGTTTTAATGGGCGGAAAAAAAAGAAAATCCACAAAACATAAGGTAAATCAGATGTATGTCTTGGTCAAATGTTTGTAGACAGCCATCCTGAAAAGAAATTGATAAGCAGAAATATACAGTTTGTTCACTGAGCATAAAATATTGTACAGGAGCAGTTTTGTTTGAGACTATTCAATTTTCCATATTTTTGAACTTCAAAATGGTTTATATTGACATTGTTGCATTTTCTAAAAAAAAAAAAAAAATTAATATTCAGTAATACTGTTAGAACCTTTAACCATATTCCAGTCTACTGAATGGCAATGGTAAGTCAAAGGTGAAGATTTGGCAAAGATAAAAAGGTTGATAAGACTGTAAAATATATGTGTATCTATATATGTACATATGAAACACCTATGTTCCCCAAACCCCTAACAGTATGATAACAGATCCCTTGAAGAAATCTACAGTCGAGGCCACAGTGATGGTCAGACAGTGGTCGAGTATGACTCTCTTCTTGGAGCCTGCTTCCTTTGAGCCACTCGAGTACTCTCTCTGGTCTCCAACACACAGTCTTCTGTTTCACTCTCACTTCCATCTGCCACAGGGGGGTCCAAGGACATCGGGCCAGATTTTCTGTGCAAAGGAAAATCAAGGCCACCTTCCCTTAAGGAATTATCTATGAAGTCTTCATCGGAAGAATGGAATGATTCATCATCTCCAGTTATATGGTTGACAATGTGGATTCCATCAAAAGGCGGTTGGCCTGAGAAACCCCTCTGGCCTTTTAGGCACCTGAGCTGTTAAAACAAAATCCAAGTTAATATACTTGACTTGGGGGGAAAAACACCCACACACCAAACATGCAAATGTTTCACGTTTAAGGAAGAAGACACCTTGATCTACTGAGATTTATAGATACAATAAATAACAGTTGCCATTTTTCTCTCCCACAAGAAAGCAAGAGTAAAAAAGAAAAAGGCAGGCCATTTTTTTCAGCACCTCCCTTGTGTTATATAATGGGCATATTAAATATGCAATTGTAACTGAATCATCACAACAGTCCTAAGTGGTAGATTTTAATATCCTCATTTTATAGATGAGGAAATGGAGACTCAGGTAGAATAACTTGCTAAAAGGACGCACAGCTAATAGAAGTTTAGATTCAAACTGAACCTTTTATTATCATATAATGAATCCCATGTACCCATTACCTAACTTCAATAACTTAACACATCACAATCTTGTTACCTTCTACCCCTCTCATCCCTGGATTCTTCTGAAGCAAATCCCACCAGACATTCTATCAGTTCACTTGTGAATATTTCAGTGTATGGCTCTAGAAGATAGAGGCTTAAAGGCTATACTTTTAACTATCACACACACTGCACACTGTCTATCTCGAGAGCTATCTCCAAAACCCTGTGAAAGATGAAAACAATTTACAAATCATTGACGTTTCTTACAACTTTCCATCTTGTAATAATATTGCAAAGACGACCAGACAACTATTACCCACTGAAAGGGCAGGAATGTATCTTCTCATTCATGTTTCCTTGTGTGTGGGAGGAGTGGCTGTCATGCATGACACTTTTGTCTTCGCTCTCTCTTTCTCTCCCCAGGGGTAAGGGGCTGACTTCTCTCACCAGGGAACAGGGGAGAGAAATGACATGCACTGCTCAGCTCCTTCATCCCTCATGAGGGGAGGCTTGTGGAGGTCAAATGCTACCTGCTACTAGGTAGGCAAATCTGACTAATTCCAGAGTTCAATACTGAAAACTCATTGTCACACATCTAAACCACATTCTCCAAAAACAGTTTTATCTGTAATAAAGGTGATTTCTTTTCATCATCTGCTATTTCTTTGACCATGTTCCCTCATAACTCCAAGACCCCCCCCCAACAGTATAGGTCCTTTACTTCCACTAACATAATTAAGACATTGTTGTTGTTGTTATGTGCCATTGAATTGGACCCGACTCACAGTGACCCCTCCCTTGGGTTTCCGAGGCAGTATCACTGCGGAAGTAGATTGCCCAACCTTCCTTCCAAGGAGTGGCTGATGGGTTTGAACCTCCAGCCTTCTGGTTAATGGTCAAGTGCCTTAGGCACTACACTACCAGAGCTCCCAATTAAGACATTAGCCTTGTTCTTAAGAGCTTATGTTTTAAAGTTTAACTGTGATATTCTGTCGTTAGTTTAATTTCTCCTACACGCCATAAATAAATTTCTCCCACAATAAAGCAAGAGTGGAAAAGAAAACAAAAAAACAAAACCCAACAATAAAAAAAAAAAAATTAGGTATCAAATATTCTACCTTGAATTATCAAGAATCTTGCTGACATACTCCATATACCCTCATCATTACTGTCAGCATCCAACCTTGTTTCTCAGTCACTTTCTATCTTTCAACTCTTGAGATAAAGGCAAAGTGAAATATTCAGGAAATATTACATACACTTTCAAAACTAACGGTTCTGAGAGTAAAGACATTACAGCCTTGCTCTAATGCCTCCCAGCTTTCCCGACAGACTTCCAGGAAGGAGTGAAGAAACCTGAGCATGTCCCTGCTTGAATGTGGTAACAGGGAACAAGAGGGACTCTGAGACCTCAGTACCGTGATGTCTGCTTAAGCAAACCTTCAATCAAAAAGAGAGTCTCATGACCTAGACCCAAGAGAATAAAATTAGAGTGAGGTAAATTGTAATTTAAGTAACACCTTCCTCCTTAGAAGAGCAGATGGGATCTAAATTTGGAGTTCAATCTTTAGGAAAAGGGCACGGAGCACCACAAAGACCTCCTCACGGTTGGGATACTCACTATATCACTGTAACTGCCACGTTCTGATGCAACATCCTATTATCACATTACAACACATGATTTACAGCTCCAAGTGTTAAATGAAGTCAGTTAGTATCTTCCTTTCTCTTTTTCCCCAGACCCTTTGAAGAAATAATAGGCAACACATGTCTTCTTTCTTTCTGGCTGTTATAAAGGAGGAATATGACAGTGGGATTACACCTTCCCAACTGTTTGGAAAGCTGTAACTTTCTTTTGCTCTAATAAAGTTTATTGCAATTTAAACACTGCAACTTCATATCATCTGTAACAAGCAACCTCAAATATTACACAAAATTAACTCTAGGCTGCGGGTCATTTCTCAACCTCAAAGGAGATAACCAGCTAGCTCATCTTCATTTGGAAACTGCTGATACAGGATGGCAAAGGCATGGCGGGGCTTTGTGGGGGAGAGAAGAAAAAGATGAAGGCAAGGGACCACTGATAAAACTGAAGAGTTCTAAATTTTCTACAAATAAAGTCATGTATTAATATCCATCTGTGAAATGTGCCTGACGTTTAGTTGAAAAGACGGCACAGATTAAGTGTAATTACAAATAGTTTTTAAAAACATGAAGAAAAGAAATAACCAAGCCAAGCTTTTAGTTAAATGAGAATGAATCTCAGAAGCCCTACACTTGCTTTCCAATAGTTTGCATCTATCATTTAGTGTTCTTTGGCTTGAAACCACAGGAACAAACTCAGTTACCTTAGGCAAAAAAAGGCATTAACTGAAAAAACAGAAGCCAAAAAGAGCTAAAGAGAAAGTGAAGAGGTAAGTGGGCAAGAACTAGATCTTCCCCCAGGATTGAGGTGACAGCAACAGAAGGACATTTATGATAAACTGACCCAAGCCACTTGCATTCCTTATGTCAAGATTAGCTGACAGGTTTAACTTAGATCAGGTGTCCACCCACTCCTTGGCTAGGGGACGCCAGGAGAGGGGACTTAAACACAATCTCACCAAGGCAATGACTGTGTGTAGTTTTTCAAAGCAAATTTGGGGAACTGTTCTAGGAGGAGGAATTGGGGCTGTGTAGGAGGAGGTTTCCACTGTGCTGCCCTAAACCTGCCATTATTAGTCCCTTTTTACTTCGCTCTGTTGAGTGTCAAATCACTGTTTCAGGTTGAAGCTGTTCTACGTGTGTGCTTTAGCAATCAAATGACTCAAACACAGGAAGGGCTAACAGAGTCAATTTAATAATTCTGAGATTTCTTATGCAATTTAGTATTAAAACATGTTCCTCTGTGGGTCTCTCTTTACTTTCTAACTGCTTAACACTGGGATGTTTTATTACTCATGGTCTGTTCCACCAAAATATTTGAAAGAAGGCAAATCAGGCAAAACCCAACTGCTTAACTGCCAGAGTGAAAGAACTAACTAACTAAATAAATAAATAAAAATAACCTCTGTAAATCATAAATCATATCTGAATTTTATTAAGCCATGCCATTGCTGTCCTCAGCGGTCCTGCTAAGATTTACAGGGTCCAAAACAAGAGTCCAAATGGGAACTCCCAGGAGTAGCTTACGGCCTCCACCTCCTTCTTTTCCCACTGCCTCCTTCTCTACATGACAGGCCTCCTCCACACACATGTGGGCACTCTAGCCTGCCTATCCAACTCTGTCCTCACCCCCAATCTACAGTCAAACAATAACAAAAGTATAAACTTAAAACTGAGAAGTCCTTCCTGCTTCCCTTGCCCCACTTCTTACAGGAAGCCTCTACTGAGAAGCTGGTGTCACCAATACAGTTTTTAACTTAGTTGTGTTAAATCAAGGTTGCAGGGACCAGTTAGTCTCTCAGTTTTCTGTTTCTGTTTGTTTGAGAAGCAGGCTGTTCAATCACTGATCAATATCAAAGACTGACAGTAAACCATGAACAAGTATGCACAAAATGATCAATAATTTTGGGAACCTCTTTTTGTGTGAGCATTTTCATAGAGAAATTTAACAGTATAAGAAACTACTGGATGACTGTTAACAAAAACTGTCTTCAATATAATTTTATTACATCTTCACTACATAAGCAACGCATCAACTAAAGACAATTTAGAAAATAAAGCAATTCCACATCGTGAGATGATCACCATTAACATCTTAATACGTCCTTCTAGATGATTTTCTAACCTTATATATTTACTTTTCAAATATGGACTAGTCACTACACATACTGCTTTTTGATTTTTATTTAATCATATATTATTTAAAAAATAATTATTTTTTTGTTGAGAATATACACAGCAAAAATATCCACCGATCAAGTTTCTCCATGTACAGTTCTGACACTGATTCCATTCCTCAGGCTGTGCAGCCATTCTCACAGTCCTTTTCTGAGCTGCTCCTTCCACATTAACTAAATTTACTGCCCCTTAAGTTTTCTATCTAATCTTTTGAGTGATCGTTGTCACTTTGATCCCATATAGTTCTTAAAAAGAGCATAATGTTTGAGGCAGATATTTTAAAATAGTTTAACTAAACTATTGTTTAGTTTTAAGAGGACTTCAGGGGGTATTTTTGGCTCAAGTTTTAGCTATTATCTCAGGCCACATCAATAGTTTCAGGGATTCATCCATCCTTCTGGCTCCAGGAAGTCTGGAGTCCATGTTCTGATCAAAGATTCTATATAAGAATTTTATATATTTTATAAATATATAAAATATATTAAATAAATACAATATAAATATATTTATTTAAAGAATTTTATAAAATTCTATATAAGAACTTTATATATAAGAACTTTATATATAAGAATTCTATATAAGAATCTTTGATCAAAAGGGGGAAAATGCAGAGGAGACTTTCAAATTCTCACAGATTCCAGACCTTCTGATGCCTTTCTTGAGGCTGGATGGACCCCTCAAACTACTGTCCTCAGATAATCTTTAAGGTTTAAGTCTTCTTTAAAACAAACAATAGTTTAGCTTAATTAGTAAAGAATGTCTGCCTTTACCATTGTGTT